CTGTTTCGGGAAACTGAGGAAAGGATGGAGGGTGAGAGAAATGTGATAGAGAGAAGGGGTTGCAGAAAAAATAAGTCCTGAAACAGGAGGAAAACGTCAAGGGGAAAGGATGGTTATTCTGTTCAGTATACAGTACAGTACAGTGCGAGAAGGGAATGAAACCCAAGCCGGAGAAGTTCACCCTCGTACCGCCTTGGAAGAGAGAGAGAGAGAGAGAGTTAACAAAGTTTTTGTTTCAAGGTCTGCATGTGTGTTCATTCATTCATTTATTTTCCTTATTCTATGTGTTGTAGCATTCATTATTTTGAAAGATGGTCGCCCGTCTGGACAGCGTTCAGTTTTGTCGAAGAAGCCGTCATGAAGAACAGCATTTCTATGAGGCAATTAAGGCGGAGCCATTTGAAAGCGTATTGTTTATCATCCTTTTTCGATTCGAAAACAGGACAACCTTGAGTCCCCTGAAATTTTATTTCGCGGATTTTTAAAGCATTTCCATTGTTTGTTGAAAAAATATTTTCCTGGCGACAGTAAATTGGGAAGGAATGTCCAAAGCTCGGACATGAAAGAAAAATCTCTTTCCTTTGGAACTTTATTTTTTCCCCGGGTCGATTTTCTTGCTTGTTTTCATTATTTGATTCAGTGATGACCTCGTGGCACGACCTCAAGAGCGATTTTTATTTTCATTAGCAAAATGAATGTTCATCTTTCTCTCTCTCTCTCCCGACTGCTTCGTTCGAGAGAGCGAGAATATTCGAAAAATCTTTCCATCTGTGTTTTAGAAAAGGAGCGGATTCTTTTCATACTGTTCTCCCGCAATTTTACCGTGAAGTCTGTGCCAAATGGCATGAGTAGCTTGGACGGGAAAACTTCCGAATTAATCTTTTCGACCATTCTTTTTCAAATGAATGTTTCCCCGAAAAACTTCTGTACAGGCTGGCCAAAAAATTGTTCGTGCCCATCGTATTCGAATTCCATTGAAAAACTTGGAGTAATACTCTGCAGGAATGCAATCGATGCTGAACTGATTTCTGTTCAGTAACGTATTGTATGAAGGTATAACATAGCGTTTCATCAAAGTTGTATCTTAGCCAAAGTCGATGTTTTGTGGCCTATAGTTCGCAGACCCGGGTTGACGACCTTTCTTGTCCTTTCAAAGGATAACTTGTCATGTGTTCAAGGGATACAGTACTGTAGTTCGAATTATTTTCATCTTTGCCGCAATATCTGAAAAATCGTGGGGAGAGAAAAGAGGGATCTTTCAGAGAAGCATATGCGCTGTTCTCCCTAAATCTTGTCATGATTCATTAATATCTTTAGATTTATCTTTTCAAACTAATTATTCATTGCATAAACTTTTCTTTTAAAAACTTCTTTCAGACGTGGCTGCCTTTGGGAATTAGATTTTGTGTGCCTCCGAAACCGCCACTCGGTTTAATGATGACTTCACGACGTAGAAAAAGTTCCGAGTAGCCAGATCTGACGAGTGAGGTGGAGACGAAAGTAATCACAGTAATTAATTTCTCGAAAAATTATAAGGTTCATTGCGCATTTTTTCTGGACTATTCATCGAAAAAAAAAAATTACGAGAACGTATCAGTCTTGGATATGGTGGAGTCGGGAGCTTTATTTTAACTAAATTTGGACTCATCAAATGAGCAAATTCTCTGACAAATTTTGTTTAATTCATATTAGAAATCCATTAAGAACGATTTAATAGACCTTCCTAACTGAGAGACTTCCTCTTTAAACCGCTATAACTCGGATTTCTTGAGGCTTCAAGTGTTTAATGTGCGGACCCGGAGAGGAGAAGAGCAATAAAATGTGTTGGGCGAATTTACCTTTGTCTCCCAAGTTCGGCATCCTGTCAACTCAGTTACCCAGCAGTTTAATGTCCAGAATATCACCAATTTTATCCTCCTGTAATTCTTTCCCCAGCACCACAAAAAAATGCTGGTTTTCGTAATGCGAAAAATCTTCATCGAATATTTCTGCGTCCCTTTCGTTTAGCTTAACTTGAAGAGGTCTGAAAGTGTCTCCTCTAGTGAGGAACCTGGGAAGCGAAATGCGATGTACAATAGTTGATTGAAATATTGCACGTTGTACGACTGTTTTCTTTTGGGTGCAATAAAAATGTTGAAAATGTCTGTAAAAAAAGCACTTAATGTATTTCCGAAATGTATGCAGTACAGGATTACAAACTAGTTCAAAATTGGGTTTTTAAGGGTTGGGGGGGGGGGGGGGGAAATTGCTAATTGAAAATCCCTGTACGTTTTTGCGTGTTCTTCTTGAAGTTGTATACAGGTAATTAAAAACAACAAGTTAATGAAACCAGCACTTGGTGTATTTTTCTAAACCTCAAGTCCTAAAAAGAACCTTCAAGTTTAAATTGCAGGCGGATGAAAACTAGTGGCATTTTTAAGAAAAATCTTCTTAAAATTGAATATAATTCAGATACGTCTCTACAGTATTGGAAATTACTGTATTTGAGGGATCTGTATTGTAAATGTGTAGGAAGAACCAAAATTCCGTTTCTTGATAGCTTTCAATCACATTTTTCTACTCACCGTTTTACAGGTGTCTAACAATGGCTCCATCACCAGTGAACACTTTTTCATTACAAGTTTCCATGTGTGCCCATCAGTAGGAAAATCCTCTCTACAATTTTCAGCATAATGTAGAAGCAATTGTGAAATGCAAAACTTTCCATTGTCATTCACATTTTATTTTGAAATCCTAAAACAATATTCATTGATTTTTAATGCAAAATTTTCCATCTTGATGTATTCAAAAAAATGACTGGGTAAGCTGCCAGCTTGACCTGAAGAATTATTTATAGAAAACTGTTGTGTATTACAGTAAAATCTTGTTACAACAAACTCCTGGGGACCAGAGACAAAATTCGTTATAACAAAAATTCATTGTAATGAGATTACTTGATTTTGTTACAGAAATATAAAGCTCAGGTTTTATTCTGTTCAAGAATAACTGTGTTCCCAAGTTTTTTCCTGTTGCATAAACTTCAGGCCTCTCTTCTGATAGAAACTTCACAAATCATCCTTTCTTGTAGAAACTTGATATGCCCTTTTGTAGAAACTTCAGTCTTATCTTCTGGTAGAAACTGCTCAGCATATCTCTGTTTGTAGAAATTACACATGTCCCTTTGTGTAAGAACTTCACAAATCCCTTCTTGTAGAAACTTAATATCCCTTCTTGCTGTAGAAACTTCTGGTCTCTCTTCTGGTAGAAACTTCACATATCTCTTCTTGTAGAAACTTCTGGCCTCTCTTCTGGTAGAAACTTTGCATATCTCTTCTTGTAGGAACTTCACACATCCCTTCCTTGTAGGAACTTCACACATCCCTTCCTTGTAGAAACTCAAGGTGTGTCTCCTTGAAACTTCTCATATCCCTTCTTGCAAGAACTTTACATTTCCCACCTGGTAGAAACTCTGCATTTCCCATCTGGTAGAAATCTCTGGCCTCTCTCATTTTAGAAACCTTGAACTAAAACCACATCAAAGATTTTCAACATGTAAACCTATGACAAAATTGAACTTGCCCAACAGACTTCACCCAAAGGACTAATCCGTTGCACAAATTAAGTCCATTAGGCAGGGGGCCACTGTACATGATCTTTTCACTGAAATTCTGCGCAAGGTCATTCAGGCAAACATTGCACAGCAATATGTTAGGGCACAGAAATACACTGTATGGCTTGAGGGCTGCAAAGTTGCACAGTGATCACTGTGCAACATTACAGCCCCTATGTGGCACAGTAAAAAAGGCTGTGCAATGTTACACTCATAAAAAAGTATTGCTGTACAATGATAGGACCATTGTTTTACACAAATCTTGCAGTTGGGTCACCTCATCAAAACTTGTGCCTTTTAAGATTATAAAAAATGACTTATACGGGGACTAAAAAGCAAGGATTTTCACTTATTCTGGTTGCTCTTGGATTCCCAAGCTCCAAGTTGGCACTGTGCATCCAGCCTCCTGATTGGTTGATAAATTTATCAGGATACATTTATTTTATGGGCTTCCTGCCAGTCAGGAAATGTAACTGATTTTTTGCTTCCTGTTTTTCAGTGCGTAATTGGGCTGAGGCAGACAAATTTCCTGTCCATCATCCTCTAGTGATGATGTGTCACAGGAAATCAGTATTGTACAAAAATCAGGGACTCCTTTGAGTCCATGAAAATTGGCAACACAACATGTTAAAATTGGGACAAGAAATTTGAAATTTTGATGAAAAAATTCAAAAATCTGGTTAAAAAATTTGAAAATTTTGTGAAAAAATTTGAAAATTTTGTAAAAAAAAAATTGAAAAATCTTGTAAAAAAAAGTATGTTATAACCAGAGATTCTGTGAAAAAATTCATTAAAACAAGATTTTTATAACACTGTACATAAGGCAAACTGCTGGGACCAATGAAAAAATTTGTTATAACGAGATTTGTTGTAACAGAATTCTACTGTATTAGGATTTTCTCCCAAGTTCTTCATCATTTCCTCGCCGGTTGAAATTTGTATTTCTGTATGGATTCAATTCTGATCTGTTCTAGGTGGGATTTGGATGTGCACGTATTTTTATGAATTGGAAGAAGATTTGCCAGAAATGAACGTCTGATTTTATATGATCTTGAAACTGTGTTGATAATTCTCGTTATTTTTTAGAAGACCTTCATGAATGTGAGATGCATTTTAAAAGGGGAAATGTTGGTGTTGAGGTAGTCTAAATTAATTATTAGCCGTTACCGTGAAAGGAACACCTACTGATGCTCGAATCATGCATACTTTAAGTCAATTTTGTAGGAGGTTGGGAGTGGTTAATGCTACTCGATTTCTGTGGCTTTTGCCATGAGAATAAATGGTACTGTACATGTACTTCGATTTTGCGTTATATCCACTGGAATATCTGGGGCATCTGTTTGAAGCATCGGCACATTTCCTATTAGAAGTCAGTGCTTTCATTAACGCTCCAGATTTTCTCTCCTTTTTTTTTAGGTTTGAGGCCATCTGCAAGGAATATGGCAAGCACAAATGCTCCCGCGTCCTCGGTGAAGCAGGAGAACAGGGCAGACGATGATGAAATCGGACGATTGGCTGAGCAGATGCGGCAGAACCTGGCGCGGGCACCACCAACCAACGCCGCAACCCTCCAGTTCAATAGAGCCCTTTTGGATAAAATTGCTCTTCCGAAAGTCATTGATGAATCATCTACGGACGCAGACTCTGTTAAAGGTCGCTTTGGATGGGTTGAAATCGACGGGCAGTGGTTTCCTTACATATTCCGAAATGTGAGTTTTGCTATTTCAATTCCTTTTGCAAATGGCCAAAATTACCTCACCTATCTTTTTTTTTTGTACCACCATGACTACCTCCGTAAACAGGTGAACTCTCTCTCTCTCTTCTTTATATACTCCATATACCGTATATATACAGGGGTCTTGACAAAAGTTCATGCCGCCTTCACAGCCGCCATTTGATGAAAATGGCGGAATTGCCTTGGAAGTCCTGGATGCAGCCTTTAGAAAGAATGCCACATTGATTTCAAAAATTCTAAAGGGAAAGCTGGGCTACAAAAAAAAATCTGCAGGAAGGGCGCCTCATCTTTTGAGTGGAGAGCAAAACTCTGCTAGTTTGCAAAACATTAAAAAAAATTGTCAAACAGGACTGTTCTATTTTCTTGGGCCAAAGAATATGTTTTCCCTAAAGAATAAATTTTTTTCAGCTCAATTGTATGGCATCTTTTGAATTATTGCATGAACTTTTGTCAAGACCCTCGTATAAAACTAAATTCTCCCTAAAATTATTTTTTTGGTTTCCTGAATTTCGTTGTAGAGAACCACTTTAACGAGGGGAGAGAAAGAGAAGCATATGGAACCAACAACACAAAATCTTTATTCTGTGCAAAGAAAATCCTTGCGGAGAAAGTCCACGTGTAATGAATAGTTTCATTTTTCCTTACATCTTTGTTCATACAGTATCATACAATTGTACATCTCTGAGTCAAATTCCGAAGTGCAGTACAGTCAAGTCTGGTTAATCGAACTTCAAGGGACCAGGGAACACATTCTAGTTAGAGAAGCAAGCCTTTTTGTTGAGTGAAAGGAAGAAGAAATGCAGGAAATTGTAATCGGTGATATTCTGTGCCTTCAATTACCTCTTAAATGAGGACAGGATGCTAAAATTGGACGAAAGTGTTCAGTTGTTCCATGAATCTTTCACTTCCGTCCAATCCCCATCAAGTTGAATTTGTATTGCTTTTCTGTTTCCTGTGTCAATAGAATAATAGCCGAAAGGCCTTGAGTAAATTCGAGTTATGGAGGTTTGCGGGAAGGCCTTTGAGTTAGGAAGCTTTTTTCTTTTCCAAGGAAATGCGGACGGGTACTTCAGAACATTCGACATAATAAGGTTCGACTTATCGAAGTACAACTATACTGGCGAGTAATTTGTGCTGAGGAATTTTTGATTCGGGGAAAATGTACTGTATTTCCATGAAAAAGTTGCGATAATCACAGGCAGGTTAAATTGGTGATCGTGTGTGGGACTCACTCTGCTAGATAAACGGGGGTCTACATTGCACTGTTCTTATGAATATTCAGATACGGCCGCCAAAAAATCGATATAAGGAGATTTTTGACTTGGGGAACAATCGAGTTCTTGAGGTTCCACTATACGGTATTATCCAAAGATAACAATTCGATTCAAGTAGAGTACTACTATTTGTGCTCTTCTTACTGATGATACTATTTGTCCATATTGTTGACCCTAAGTAAGAGTAGTCGACATTTGGCCCTATGTGGGGTGAAGTAGGAGATTGTACAGTACTGTAATATTCCAAGATTAATTCTTGCCGTTTTGGCGTGTGAATGGTTCAGTTCGGGTGCGCGTCACATAATGGGAAATTTTTCGAACGACAATTTTTTTTACATCTAAGCAATTGAATTCATGTGCAAGTTTCAATTCTGGTGTGTCTCATTTTAAAAATATTTCAGTTTTTTCAGTTACAAAAATGGGGTGCGTGTCTTACTTTGGGGATAGAATTTCATTGAATTAGAGTTTAAAATTTGGGTGCGTGTCTTTCTCGAGGGCGCGTGGTAATGAAGTACGGTATTTCACAGTACTGTAATATAAATGCTGTGTAACGCCTGTTTCAAGCTTTGATGAAGTTTCTTTGTCAAAGTGAAGCTTTTCACTTCCCCTTTTCGAGAATTGATTTTTTTTGCCTAACCGCATTTTAGGAAGCATTCACTTCTTCGCGTATTATTTTGGCTTTCAGCTTACTGTCGGCTCTTTGATGCGTTTTTTAAAACGCATATATTTGCATTCCTCCAAAAAGTTTCGTTTTCTGTACCCTCAGTTTTTCCCCGTATCGTTTTTCCAGAAAAACAAGTTCATGGTTGCCAAGCTTCTGCAGAAAATATTTGAGAAAATATTGGAAAATATTCCGGAGTGCGTTACGCGTCTGATCCGCGTATCAAGCTACTCCTTGATGGATGCCGAAGCCCTTCTCCTCAACGACGTCGCCAGAATTCACGCGAGACAGATTCTCCCCGAAGTCGTGAAAGTCACGACCAAAGACGAAATCCTCGCCCTAGACGATGTTCACGAAACACTCGCCTTTTTGAACACCTTTGAAAGGAAGACGATGAGTGGTGTTCACGAACCGGATTCAGACAGATTCGGCTTTCTTCGCATTGATAAGAAAGATTACTTGCCGTACGTGTTGATGCGGGGAGACAAATACGTTCCGTCGCTATTTATCGACGGCGCTGTCACTGTCGACTCGCCCAAAGTCGCGGGATGGGATTTGAAATATCTCAAACTCGCTCTGCTGATGATGGGCGTGAAAGATACCCTGTATGAAAACACGACTACATTACACGTGGTGCCGTTGAGTTCGGTGAAGAGACTGCTGCCTGGCGAAACAGTAGTGGAGGTTTCCTGGCCCGTGGAACTTTCTGGGGACAAAGCCAATGATGGAAGTCGGGGAAAGAAGTCCAAGACTAAGGAGAAAAAGAGCAGTTCGTCTGCTGCTGCTGCTGTTGCGCCTCCATTGCCGACAAGTGTCCCAGCAGTGGTCCCGGTTGTTCCGCAGCCAGTGAATAATAACATGCATTACCAGCCATTTAAGTGAGTCGCTGCTTTGATCAGGTGTTTTGTGCATGAATCGGTCTTTTCGCATGATTGTACGTGTGTGAAGAAGTTGGTCATTTATAATCATTTTTGTCGTATTTGCAGCGCGTGGGCACATCCGCAAGTATCTGCACAAATGGCTTATCAAGCGGCGTATGCTGCCGCTGCTGCTGCCGGTGGTTATCCCCCATATTACTACGTGAGTTGATTCGTATGCTTCCCTACGCTGTGTAAATCCGTTAGGCCTTTCCTTGTGAGTTTCAATTATGTCAGATGCACCATGAAATTTTTCTCTCTGGTGATTCGAACGTCAGTCTGGAATGTGCGACAGAGAAATAATCGGATCAAGTAAAAGACCACCTTTCAGGTTATACAGGAAGATCATGTACAGCTGGACTCTCAAAAGCGAAATTCAAGGGACCAGGAAAAAGTTCAGTGTAGAGAACTCCTATGGCATGGGGAGAGAGCCCTATGGGGCCAAGTAAAAATTCGTTAAACGGAGAAAATCGTTGTAGATGTTGTAGATAGAGTCCAGATGTACTAACCGTTAAAGTAAGAAGATGTAACCTGGGAGTCTGTCAACTACAAACATCTGAATGAGGAAGTTTCTTGCGCTAAAAGAGTGTCCTACGTGCGGCTGAACTGTCGTAGATTTCAACAACTTCCTCTGAGAGTGCACGTAAAGGTTGCCTGCAAGGGGGAGAAGACATTATTTTTTTCTTTGAACCCCCCCCCCTCCCCCCCCCCCTCTGGTCTGCAGCTGCTGTTTTGTTACTTACAGCATCTGCTCTGCACATTTTTAAAACTATGGGTGAAGTCGAAATGTCCAATTTCTGTCCCTAAGAATATTTAGTTAGGGCATTCGTGAAATTACAGCATTTCAAGTTGTTTCAGCATATCGAAAAATCGTACAAAATTTCGTACACAATGATTCCAAGTAAAATTTAATGAATACCAGAAAATACTTGTGACTTCTAAGTCTATGAGAATCTGGGCCATATTCCCTGGCTAGAACAAATTTGTAAGTTTTAATTTTTTGGAGACATCAAATCTATTTTAGAGAGGTTCATTTATAGTGACAAAATGTCCCGTGTCCAGCATTACATCAGGATTTGAATGTAAGCTTTTGTCTTCAGAAGCAACGCCTTTTTTCTGTTGTTGTTTTGAAAGTACTGTACTGTATAATACAAAAGTCATGGCAAAGGAAATGCCACCTACAGTGTAATTATCAGCAAAAATCAGGAAGAAAGGATCAGCAAAAATCGCATGACAATGGAGAGAAAGTTTAATCTTGATCCGTGAGAGATTCTACGAAGTATAATGCACTGTAGAATTGAAAGGGAAGGAATGTTTTATGTTCCTACTAAATTTTCAGGGAACATTTTTTCTGCAATACGAATGACAATATTGTACACCAAATCAAGTCCCCAAGAAATAATTATACGTCATAGTCTGAATAATTATAGGTATAGATCACATTGAATTATTCAAACCGATGCGCTTTTTCAAAATTGAATATGTGATGGTTGTAGGTCTGGTTCAATTTTTATTTCCATTAGCTGGGTAAACTATCTTATCAAATTCGCAGCGAAGAAATCACTTGCCCATTAATGAATTTATGGGTTTTCTTTTGCAGCCATATTCGCAAGCATACGACCCGCGGTTCACCCAAAATTGATGGATTTTTGGATGGCATTGCCGCTCACTTTTGGGTGAGTTCTTCTTTCCTCAAATACCTTTTTTTTTTTTTATGCGGGGCTTTAAAATATTGTGTAATATTTTGTAGACTCTGCACGAAGAGTAATACAGTACAAGATAACAGTCCTTTGTAAGTGGGATACATAACTGGGATGAGGTGTGTTTATCCTGTGCTGGACCTTCCACTTTCATTTAATGTACAGTTCACTCAGTTTTCCTCAGCGAACACACTGCAGTAATGTAAATCTGGTTTTGTAATATGTTTTGAATGGCTTAGCGCAGCCCTCTTATCATTTATGTGCCATGCTAGTTCAAGTGCCATTCTTCTCGTAGCTGATGCCTCAGTAATGTTACGTCAATATCAGCAATCACTCCTGGAAAGATTTTTGAGGATTATCTTGATGGGAAGATAAACCTGGAATCACAACATAGGACTGAAATCACACGTTTACTATGAGTGACATCTAGCCTTACTTGAAATTTATTCGTTTTGAGGATTCCACCAAAAATAATTCGCAAATTTGTGTGTACATGAAGATACAGTGCCGTATGTAGGTTTTGAAGCATTCTGTTCCTCTTTTTTCGAAATTTTGTAACTTGATGAAAACCTAATTGTATTTATCCCTTTTCCAGGCTGTGGAAGAAGGAATTTCCATTGAGTGAACAAACTTTGTCCTGGAGTTTTTTCGCTTGTGCTTCTTATTGTTAACTGTTGAATTTAAACACATGAAATTAAAGCCACATTTTTTTTTTACACTGAATTGATCTGATTCATTTCTTCCATCTCCACAATATATACAGTACTCTACAAAGTGAGGTTGAGAGAATTATGAGCGCCAAGTCCATATGGTGACCTTGAGATGTGCGCCCCCAAAAGAAATGGCTGGAATGTTTCATAATTCTATGGACCCCCGAGATTTGAAGTTCCAGCATTTTTTGGGATACAATTGCTGAGTTCTTGGAAAATGGCCTTGGCTATGTGAGGGAGTGAAGAACACCTTCCATGGCCCAGAAGGAGCTGCTAGCAGTATTGTATAGGAAAATACAGTACCCAGCGCTCCCCTAGCCCAAGCTATTTTCTTTTATTTCGTTTTCTTCCCTTCATGACATGGAAGCATACATGGAGATGGGAGGAGGAGGCGGATAAAAGAGGCATAGTGGGAGAGTTGTACCGGTCTCTCTAATCATACAATTCAACGAGGGAGTGAGGTATACTGTGAGAACACAAGTGTATACGGTTGGAGAGCAGATATACTGTAGGAAGGGAGTACTGTACGTCTGATGTGTGCATGTAAGCGCGACCAACTGTATTTTTCCTCCTCACCCGGGGATGGAGGGGGTGAAGGAAGGAAAGGTGCGCCGATGGAGAGGGAGACTGTTTTATACTGTAGTTTCATTTCCCCGTAAATCTTTTTCTTTTTTGTTTGGCCCACTAATCCTACTCCCTCCCCGAGCTGCGTCGGTACCGTATTCCATCAACCCTCTTGTGCCCAAGCTTGGGGCTCCCTCCGCTCTGTGAGTATTCGCTGTTCTTGGTTTGTGTGGTGTGGGAGCCTGGCTCCAGTGTGAAATACCCTTTGGTTGGGAGGAATTTGACCCTGTGTGGCTTTTGGGATTGAAATGACCTGAGTGAATTCTGATATTAGATTCATGCAGTCTGGTAACTCATTTACCAAATGCATTTTTGTGATTTTGTGTGTGTGATTCATGTTGACAGGGAGCGCCCCTGGCGGTGCATACCTCAGAGTGATTGCTTTGTGAAAACGCGTGATTCCTAGGCATACTCCGCATAAATTTTGATTTGTTGAGTCAGAAAAACTCGGACTTGATGATCTCATGCTACAGAGAATGTCTAATGTGATGATTTCTTCATTTTTTTGGATGCGTTGATACATTCATGATTTTCTTGGAATTTTACCTAAAAATATGTCATTAGCAAGAGTATCTGAGTATGAATAGGATATCATTAATGAGGTTCTACTGAATTTTGTAGAGCGTGATTTTTAAAATTTGCCACCCCATTTAGTGACATCAGGATGTTGTACAGTAGTATTTGTAGGGCAATCGAATGTACAGTACAAACAAATGGGTGGGGGGCAGTGGTGGTGAATGTATTCTTGATAGGCATATGGATAGGACTTGGGAGAATTTTGTTGCTGTATTCCATTTTGGACACACAGTATTCTGTTGGTTTGAACATCCGGTTGCTCACATCATGTCAACTGAGATTTTCAGGATCTTGTGCAGTATGGGTAGACATACCGTATATGAGTTGTAGGTCTCTCTAAAAAGAGAGCTGGATTAGTGGATCTCAGACAGAATGCCTCTTCTACCTCTCTCCCTGCCTGCCTCCCGCTGGTTCACTAAGTTGGTTAGTTGTCAGCAGAATACTCAAACGGTAATCTCTTTCCTGCATTAGCCTGTCGAGCTGTGTAGCTAGAATAAGCTGTGAGGGAGTGAGAGAGATGGCGCTGTGGTATCTACACGCTCCATGACGTGCGGTACCGACCGTATACAGTATCACCAGCGCACCCACTCATCACAAAACTTGGCTTCTCTCCCCTGTGCCGGGTTTGGCAACTGTGTGGCTCCGCCCCCAGAATACCGTATTCAAAAGCTTCATTTTGTGAGGAATTGGCAACCCGCAGCACTGCTCCTTCCCGCAGTTGCTGTTCCGTTTTGGTAGTGACCACTGAGTGATATGGCCATTGTGATTTGATTTCATGGTAGTGTGCGATATACCTGATGAATCAAGTTTTCATGTCACATGTGGCTGTGTAGAAAATATTCAAATCAGTTTAGTGGGTTTCGTGCAGTTTTCAACTCATTTCCCCTTGTGCGTTCATAAAACAACGTGTCTTACCCACACTGAGTGACAATCAAGTCTGATCATTTGATAGAACTCCAGTTCCATCCCCACTTCTGTTGTAATTCTGGAAGATAAGTGATATTTTGTTGGAACAAATCACAATTGATTTGTTCCAGAAAGTTTGCCCTCTTCGCAATTTTATTCATGTGTGCTGCTTTCATGTTCCAAGTGCAGTACATCCCCTTCATAGCCCCATGGTTCAACTGCATGGATATGGGGTAGATCTGAGGGCAGGTTTGCTCAATCAGTTATCATAAAATCTGTAGATTTCTGTTCTGAGTTCAGTGGGGCTCCGAGGGTGCTCCTTGGAAGTGCAAGGATGAAGGGGTAAAACCAAGCTTTGAGTATTGATGTGACTTGACAGTTGCGTCATGTTCTGTCCACGTAGGATTGGAGATACGGTCGGATACAGTAACAGTAAATGTTTTATATGCGGTGTGTGGTTTTGAAGTTAACATCCTGAAAGGGGATGATTCCAGGGCTCCAAGATTAAAATCAGGGAATCAGAGAATGCTTCAGCTTCAGCTTTTATACGTTGAATGTCCTGTGCCCACTCTCTTATCTCCCCCCCCCCCCCCCCCCCCCCCCCCTCT